ACTCTTTCCTGCTTAGGTAGGGGGCCAGACTCAATCTGTTAAAGTCCCTTTTGACCCTAGCATCTATGAATCTATAACTTCAGAGTAGCTGTTTTTAAACAACTTTTTCAAAACCAACTTAAACGCAAAAATTTGGTGCAAGAAATCATTGTCGGATTGTAGATTAACAATCCGCACAGGATTGCAGTCTGCACAGAGATGATGGATTTTTATCTCATAAACTAGACTAGTTTTTATAATCACAGTGGCCTTCAGTGGATTAACTACTTTATTTACCTGGATTAGGGTGGAAAGCACACATATGAAAACTTTGGCCAGTGTACCTTTCATAGTAGAAAATTATGATAAAAACATCTTTATCAGGCAATTTTAAACTTGAAATTTTAAAATAATAATTAGAGAAAAACAAATCTAGCTATTTTTTCTTTGCAACATGTACTTTATACCAGTTAAAGTGGTTCATGCAGTTTGTTTGAAACTTTATAATAAAACTAATACAGTCTACTCAAAGAGAAATGCTAAAAATAGAATTTTAGAGTGGAACTTGTTCTTTTAGTATACCTGATGTAAATTTTTCGTTTCATAAGGAATATGTTAGATTTGTTCTTTCCCTGCTCATTTTCCCATCCTTTTTATCACTATTTCTTGAGGCAGTGATATAAATTCGTAGTGCATTCAGTAGTATGTATATAGTTACCTTGTTATCTCGTTTTTTTTTTTATGTAAATTTTTTCATTACGGAACACAATTTTTTCCCTTTTGAATTTGTTGCTTTGTGGAGATCTTAAGCATTGATTTATTAGAAATAAAAAGTGGATACCATTCAAGCAACCAGAGCTTCTATGACTGTTCTGTCTGGACTGAATTGTATAAAGTGTTTTACATAGTTAGTTTGCACAAAACATAAATAAAAACATAATATAGTCAGCTATTGAAATTGAAATGTGAATACTATGTCTTCAAATAATCTTCAGGTACGTTTTAAGGAACCTAAACCAAAAATAGTATTTTAGTGTTTATAGGTTGAATGATTTAATAACGAAATCGTTACTTAGAATATAGATTGGTGTTCACTAAAAAACATGGGTTTAAGCTGAAATCTTTCTCTTACAGGAGATTTTATGAGGATGGAGCGATTGTCTTGGGTGAAGAAGCAAATATGCTTGCTGGCATGTTGTTGGGGCTCAATGCTATTGATTTCAGGTACTTAAGTTGTTTGATATGTACTTGATCATACAACAGATATTTTGTGTAATTCTAGCTGCTTTTATTTAAAATTATTTGGTTTTGAAATGTTATGCTACTTAGTGCTATGAAAGGTGTCTTATTTCTATAATAATTCTTTTTATTTAACTTTGTTCAAATTAAGGAGAGAACCTTAAAATAGCAGTGTAGTCTGTAAGTTTGGGTTTATAATGGGGCATGTGTACATATGTACACACATTTACACACTCTACATAGGTTTGCATTTTCAAATATTTGTATAAGGTTTTAAAAACTTGTCCCATCAACCAGTGGTTTTGTATGACTTCTACACACACTCCTCCTCTTCCACATGAAGAACATTAACCTTAAGGTGAATGCTGTGCTGCAGAGGATTTCCATCCCAGTCTTTTCCTAAAACCACTTTTCACTGATGAAAGACCTCAGGGAACAATATCAGAGGGAACTATACACCCCCTTGCAGACTATTTCTGGAAATGCAGGAGAAAATGTATGCTTCTAACTCCCAGGAACTCAGACCAGACAAGAAGATCCACAAACCAGGCAACATACAATACCCCATTGTCTCTGGCATTGGCGCAGTCACAGAAGAAATGTCTAGCTGTGTTGACTCTTCTATTTCTGTATACCACTGGAGCTGCCAGATACCATAGATTTTCTCAGGAAACCTGATTCCATTGACAGACTTCCAGCAAACTCTGTTAGCCATCAAGATCATCTCATTACTGTACACCAAAACCTCCCCATGAAGATGGATTACGTTATCCGCTATGATGACACTGCTTCCATTTCCTTCAGATTCTTGCTTTGTCCCACGCACTATTTCAGCTATGGCAAGTCCCTAGACCTTCAAAAACATTGTACTGCCCTGGGTACATGGATATTTTATTGGTACATCAATCTATTTATAACAGATCTTGAAATCTACCTCCTCCACAGATGCCCCGTCATACCCCTGGTATTTCAAAGGTACACTAATGACATCTTTAATGTGTAGACACAATGGGAAGGATCTCTAGATGAACTCTACCAGGACTTAAACAATTTTCACTCCTCTAACAAACTGACCCTTGAGTACGCCATCCATCACACTCATTTCTTGAACATCTCTGTGAAACTTTGCAATGATCACACAAACAGTTTCCATTTAATTAGAAACTGACTGACTGCTACAGCTATCTCCACGCCACCAGATTTCATCCTAATGATCATATTGTAAATCCATTGTCTGTGGCAAAACTGCATTACAACTATCTTCTGGTCAGTAGGGTCAGAGCAGATGCCTACTTTGGGGATCTAGAACAGGGTTCTGTGTCGCCACTCAAACCAAGAGAGCCAGGGTCAGATCTCACTCAGGTTTGATATTGTAGCAATTTGATGCTAAGGACAACAGGATTGTCACTTAAAGCTCTCAGCCCTTAGACACATCTGTTGCGAGTGGTTGAGTTGGCAAGGCCCTGGCTCCACATGGTTTGGCTTTGTCCCTGGTAGAGGGAAAGTGCACAGTGATTTACAAGTTTGAAGTGTGATAGAAGGTTACATCTTTTATTATACATTGAATAACTATAAAAACCCATTGGATTCTAATGATCATGTAAGAAAACCAATTACCATACAGATACTGTTTTAGGTTTACCCTATTTTACTACATTAGCATGTGTACTAATTAGTTGTTCCCTTACTTTTGGCTTCCCGTTTTCCTGGAAGAGGTCACTTGACTTAATTATCTTCCAGGTGTGAGCTGCAAGGGCCTTGAAACTCCCTGCTCATTATATTTAAAGCAGAGACTGGTCCTCTTCCAGGGTGGCGAGGAACCTACTTAGAATAACTGAAACCAGTCACCACTGAATCACTGAACCAAGTAACACAAATGATAATATCCGGAGTTCATTCACCTGCCCCTTCACCAATATCCTGCACACCATAGCCTGCATATGGTTCACCTTGATTGTCTACATTGGCCAAACAAGGCAAGGTAAAAGAAGGAATGGTCACCAATTAACACAAATTCCAGAAATACACAAAAGCCCATAGCAGAACACTTCACTCTCCATGAACATTTTGTCATTTACCTCAGAAAATGTGTCCTTAAACAAAAATGTTTTAAAAAGCAGCTTGAATATGAAATTGCAGGACAAGAAATCATCCACAGACTGCATTGTATTCTTGACAGGGAACAACTGTGCCTCCTGCCATGCTATATGTGTAGGGGATCAGATCCCAGTTGCTCTGTATTGCCAATGCAGGGGGAGTTCGGGATTGTGATCCTAGGCTCCCCCTGCACCAGCAAGTAGCAGGCCTGTCAGCTGATCAGACCTACCTTGAGAATGCACTGAAGTCAAGGGCTTTGGTGCGCCCTCAAGACTGGGAGTCCCAGTCAGCTAACTGTAGCTCCCAGCCTCAGGGACACGTCAGAACCCTTGGCTCTGATGCATCTCCCAGGCTGGGAGCCTCAGTACACTTCCAATTTAAGGTGTGAAGGGAACCAGTCACAAAGTTATTACACACTTTGTACAGCTGTGTGGCTTATTCCCTGTTTTATTGGGCCATTAACTGCACATGTGGTTAGGTTACTACTTAAGGCATGATTAACCAGTTAATCTCATCTTAAATGTAATGTCTGCCAGGGTCTTCTCTCTCCTCATAGCAACAGTAAGTGTGTGGGTGTGTGTGAGTTGCCTTGATTTCTTGCCTTGTATGTTTATTATGTTTACCCCTTTGTCTGGCCTTTTAGGCCTCAAACTTGCAGCCACTTGCTTATGTTCATTGAAGTAAGTGAGTATGTAACTTCCATTGCAGTCAAGTTAAGCACATCTGTAAGAATTTGTAATATGACTTAAAATAAATTCTTTGGGGCAGGGATTATCTGTCTAGATTATTACAAGGGCTCAGCCATGTTGGAAATTGCTACAATCAAATGATTATAAAGTGTGGAAAATGCTATAATATTAGCAACTGAATTGCATGTGTGATAACTTTTGCTTGGTTCTTGATGAGTAATAGCTGTTTAAGGTCCTTAAGAAAAAGCAAACTAAGACTACAGCGCCCTTTGTCCTTGAAAAAAGTACTGAATTGTATTTCTACTCAGAATGCCAATATGCATAAAAATTGTAACATCCCAAAATGGAGGCCAAAACTTTTCATTTTCTTAGTATTAACAATATAGACTCTGCATATATCCTGATGGTCATTTACTGAAAACTATTTCTCAATCATTCTTTTTTCTGATATATTTTGTTGATGAAGGAAATCGAGTATGTATGCTGGTAAGATTTCAGCTCCCCTTATATAACATGGTTCTCTATTTTATCAGTTTCTGCTTGAAGGGAGAGGGACTGGATGGCAACTTTCCAGCTGTAATAGATTACACACCTTACCTGAAATTTACCCAAAGGTAGATTTTAAAAAAAATCTTAAAACCTTATGTTGTTTTTAGTGTTAAGCTGGTAGTTAAATATTTTAGCTTGTATTTACCATCCTGAAGTTTATTGATATCTGGTATGCTAAGGTATTCTGCATCTGGTGACCAAAATGATGCTTATCTTGATGTACTTATCTTGGGCTCAAAGTTACAGATATGAGCTGTAATATTTTAGTTTCAACATACATCCCTTAGGGTTTGTCTTCTTTCCAGTCGGCATGCATATGAAGTGGTCCGTTAGCAAAGCTTACACTTTCTAATTATAGTATACAGTGTATATAGTTTATTTTTTCCTGTAGGAAGCAATTTTTTTTCTTATGTACACTGTTTCTGTTAAGCCTCAGTTTTAATACTGTTGATTCTGTAACGTAATAATTGTATTTGGCCTTGCACTTTTGCAAGGTGACACAGATATAAACGATTGTCTGTTTGCAGTATCAGCATTTTATATCTTCATAGAAATTGAATATCCTATGGCTAGGTCTGTCTAACCATATGGTGTCGTTATGATCTCGCATAATTGTTCTTTTTGCCAAAGTGCATGTAATTAATATTTTTGTTGGACTGAGAAAAATAAGGTCTTCAACTAAGCATCTCAAAAGAGCATATACATTGGTGGTTGCTAGATCTTTTGTTTGAAAAAAACAGATGGGAATTAAAATTAGTCATCCCATTACATATCTTTCATATTGTATCTCTTCAGACAAACAACCAAACATGGAAATTATAAGTATTCTCTGGAGATGATCGTCTCATTATTTTTTTTAAATACCAAATTGCATAGTTCAGTATGCAGTAGTGATCAAAAAACCTAATTGTTGGGCATCATTAAAAATGGAATTGAAAACAAATTGGAAAATATAATGTCATTATACAAATATGTGGTGTGCCATCTGTTGAATACTGTGTGTAGTTCCGGTCTCCACATCTTAAAAGGATGTAGTAGAGTTAGAGAAGGTATAGAAAAGGGAAACAAAATCATGTGTATAGAGCAGTTGCCATAGCAGTAGAAATTAAAAAGGCTAGGACTCTTCTGCTTGGAAAGGAGAAGGCTGAAGCAGAGATATGATAGGGGTCTATAAAATCACAAAGTGTGTGGACAAGCAAATCCCAGAATATCTAGAATGAATGGGCACCCACTGAAATTAGCAGGAGAGAGGTTTATACCTCACAAGAGAAACTTTTCTCATGTAGTACAGATTTAAGTTGTGGAACTCATTGCCACAGGAGGTTATAGGGGCAGATGGTATAGCCCGGTTCAGGAAGGGACTAGACACATTAATGGATGTTAGATCCATTAATAGTGGAGGCCAACCTTCTTGGCAGACAAAAAGGCTAAATAGGTCGCAGACTAGTGCTGCCCTTGGTGTCACTGTGATCCCTTTCCCCTGCTCAATTGGCTACTTTTTCTGCTCCCAACCTGATGTGCTGCTTTGTTTTCTGCTTCTTGCCCTGTGGTGCCTACCCAGTCTGCTCTTTTTTTTCCCTGCCCTAAATCCCTCTCCCTGCCGTATCTGTCACTGTGCTGCCTAGCCACTCCCTGATTTTGCTGTGCGATGCACACAGAGATTGCTTGACTTGTAGCACCCATGCTGCAGGTCCGTTGCTGCCGTCAGGTCTGGTGTCCCGTCGTCGCGCCGTCCGTCCATTCTTACAGTATTTAAGATGCCAATATATGTCTAGATGAAACATGAAAAATCTATTACTTAGAAATTTTAATACTGAAAATAAGCTTAAAGGTGTTGCATTTTTGTAATTCTGCAGGAAGTTTAGTTTTACATTAAAATCCTTCCTTCTGAGACTTCACCTGTCTTAATTTTTTTCTAAGTTTAGTCTCTGGTAGCTACAGGGAGGAGCACAAGAGCCCCATTAAAACTTCTGAGACCATATTCTTATTTAATGACCTAATGGCCTGCTGCCCTTTACTGTGGTCATGGCAGAAGTTTTCTTTCAAATTTCTCTCATTTAGCATAGCAAAAAATCCTCCTTTTATGTACTGGTTTGCATTTTAGAATCAAATCCCACTTCTTCCTCGTCATTCTCAATTGCTTGAGTCTGGGAGTTGCCAACTTAATGCTTCTCATTCTGAGATGGCTGACTTCCTACTTCCTATTACTTTGATGCATTATGCTTATCCTTTAGCTCCTTCACCATTTAAAATTTAACCTTATCCCCGATTAATATTGTAGAATTCAGCCTCAAGAAATGGAGCTATAACTGTGTGTGTATATGTATATGCATATATCTATGCACACCAGCCATGTGCTCTATTATGGCTTTTTTGCAGCTAGTACACAAACACATTTTCACAGTATTTTAGTTGATTCCGAAGTAGTGCATTAATGTGAAACGTCTGTTTTTTCTTACTGATTTTTTTCTTTTAAGAAATTGACATATTTTACCTTTCAGAATAGCAGTGTTTTAACTTTTAAGTCTAATTTTGCACTATAATGAATTATGCTTATAAAGGTGGCTTATTATTATGATTCTTCAGTTCTGACAGCATAAGCAGTGATGAAGAAGAGCTGCGAACACTAGGCAGCAGTGGCAGTGAAAGCAGTACTCCAGAAAATATTGGTCCCCCTTTCATAATGGATGAAAACAGTTGGTACAACAAATGCAAAAGGGTAGAACAGAAGTATCGACTGGCTTTGGAACAGAAGGTAAAATATAAGTGTGCATAAGGGTGAGGATGACAGATTGTTTTTTATGTCCTTGATATTGTGACTAAAGCATGATTTTTATTCAGGTTATCTTGGTTAAAATGTAATGAATATAGCAGTTCTGTGTTCCTTTTTTTTAGATAATGGCTTCCATCTATCCTAGGTACTTTATATGGGTTGTGGCACTACTGCATCTGATAGTTTAAATAAAAGTTTCTTAACATATAACAAAATGCCTATTTTGAGGGTCATTAGCCTAATCTCTTTGGTCCTGCACTAACATTTAAGATGTGCTCAGTCTCCAGTGGGAAACTGTATGGGAGACATCATGGGATTGTAATTTTAGATTAAACACAAATATTGTAGGAATATAAATATAATAACTAACAACAAGTTGCTGTTCTATGTGACTAATTTCCTATCTCAAATTACTCTTGTTGGCCTCTTTGGACTTCTCCCAATATTTTTCTTAAATCTGATTACCAGAACTGGATGTAACATATCAAAACAGGTGGGTGGGTTTAATAACTTTTTGAGCTATAATTCTGCTCTTTATACATGCAGGTATTTTGTTTTAAATTTTTGCCACTGACATGAATGGAACTTCTCCTTTTCTGTATCTTGTTGAACAGGTTCTTGCTGGCACAAAAGACGTCATAAGATTCTGTCTTTCAGTATAAAATAACTTTTTTATCTGGTCTCATCACGTTAATACACCATTACTTTTCAAAATACACAGCACTTTGGACTATCTTTGGCATTACAGAGATAACTAATCTTGTCGAAGTCCTCTGTGGCTAGGTTTGGCTTCTGTATCTTCCATGAATCAATCAATCCAAGGTTTCTCTATAATATCTCACTTCATAATGAATAATGGTAACTCTGTGTAGTTCATGTTCCTCTGGGTCACTCATGAGTAGGTGTCTACTGAACTCAAGGCAGCTGCTGGCCAATTTTCACGAGCAGACTATAGGACTGACAGCCATTTTTGTGGGCCAAGCATGGTGCTCCCCCAAGTGCCTCTGGCTGAGAGGCCCCAGTAGTCCTGCCCCTGGCCACTGCAAGGGCTGTCCATCGTGTAGCCCCACCCTTCACAGCTGATTGTTGTAGGGGGGCTGGGCCACATGATGGACAGCCCTTGCACCCATTTGGCAGCAAAGGGTGGGGGTGGAGGCAGCAGCTATCTGGCCATGCTGGTAATATCTCTTCCCCTAACCCCCCATGGGCTATGCAGCCAGCCTGCAGCAGCCACAAGGACTACTGACTCCCCAGAGGGTCAGCATTTTATTCTTAAGTGGCTTTTTTTTCTCCAGGGAGCCTGCCAGAAGTGCAGAGCCCATGCTTTTTTGCAGGGCCTGCACTTTATTGTGGAACCTGCCTGAAATCAGTTTCTGCAAAAATTGCAAATTTGGCATGTGGGTCTCACTCTAAAGCCTTAGCTATATTTGGTTATGTCATGTCTACTAAACCCTTTCCCTTTATGCACCAAACCATTTATCCTGTCAAAGAGGGAAATCAAGTTGATTTGTCAAGATCTGTTCCTAACAAGTCTATGCCAATGAATGGGCATTATGTTTGTGCCCACCCCAAAAAACGACTGTACAGCTGTTCAGGGGACTTTTTGCAAAAGAGAACTGACTCATTTGTAGGAAGTTAAATAAGTTACCTGTGTGGAAGATCTCTCTCCTCCCAGTCTAATTTGAACAACTGTATACTTCTCTCTGATGTGGAGGACAGTGAATATTCCACAATTCTGTGAAAGCTGGAGAGTTCTTTCTACCAGTCGTCCTATGAAATTCGTACTGGTAGGAATCAATCCCTATCTGTGGACTATGTTGGCTGCTAGTGAGTATCCCTTCATCCTGCAGGTATTTACAAATTAGAAGAGAATCTTTATCATTTGCTCCAGTAACTTCCCAGATCTTGGAATTCAGGCTGCCTGGTTTGTCATTCTCAGAATTTTCTGTTTTTCAACGATTTAAATATGGGCACTATGTTTAGCCCTTGTCTAGTTCTCTGGGCCCTTGTGAGTTTGCAAATAGTATTGCCAGTGGTTCTGAGATTTCTTCAGCTAGTTCCTTCAGCAGCTTGAGGTGGGGGACTCGGTGGGTGCATCTACGTGAGATGCTTTACTGCGCATCAGACTAATTTGCTGCACAGTAAAGTGTCACTGTCTACATGTGCATGGTAATTAGGGTGCTGTAGACTAATTTACTGTGCTGCTGGATAGTTCTGTCAGATGCAAGTAGTATCCAGCAGCGCAATAAATTACTGTGCTTAAGTGCACGTGTAGAAGGTGACATCAGGATTAATTTACTCTGGCTAAAATTGAGCTGAAGTATATTCAGTTGCATTAATTGCATGTGTAGACATGCCCAGTCGGACCTAATATTTGTTTAAATAAATAAAAAATTGTTGTAATGTCTCTTGTTTTTCATGATCTGCAGGTCATCCTCTTCTTTGTTAATATTAACTGTGACCCAACAATTAGCAAAAGTTTTCAGTTATTTTTGTGAAGACTAAAATGAAGTGGATATTGAGCAACTCTGCATTCTTTGCATCTTCCCTTAGTATGTATCTCTCAATCTTTTCAGGTGTCCAAAGATCTCCTTTGCAGCTACATCAGTCTGTTGTGATTCTTCTTGCCTCTTTTCTGCATTCATATAGGTTCATGCTGAGCTTTCAAAGTTAAGTCTTTTGGGGAACTGGCAATCCAGTTGGATGGATTCCTTTTTTAATTTGTTTACCCACAGAACATTACAGTCTACATCCTAGTTGACTGCTGTTTGTGTTTTTCAAAATCAGTGTCATTGTTTGGGTGCTTTGAACCATTCTCTTCTTAGGATATGATCAAATGTATGATTTTCATCTCTACTTTCCAAGTATTTATTTGGTTGCAACTGCGAAGCTGGTTAATTTCCCCTTTGCACTGGTGACTGGGTCCTGGGGGCCTGGCACTGCCTTCTCCCAGCCCCACTCAACTAGAATTGGGCCCTGGGACCCAGAGCTGCCCCCACCTGGCCCTGCATGCTGGGATCAGGTGCCCTATCCAGCATGGAGGTCATGGGGCTTTCCATGGGTCTGGACATTTGGTAGCTGTGAAGCACTGCTGCCGCTCCACATTGCCAAGTTTGTAGACCTGTGGCGAGCCCCATGGGTAGGACAACATGGTGTTGTGGGCTGGATCTGGCCCACGGGCCCAAAGTTGAGCACCCTGCCTTTTTTACCATTTTCTGGAAGCTTAAGGATGTGGAGAATGTGTGCTAGCCTACTAAGAGCTGTTGACTAAACCTCTGGTTTGGTCACACTCAAGCTACACACTCTCAAAAGTTAATTAAAGTATAGATAAGTGAACTATCCCCCTTGTATTTTTGTACCCTGCACCTGTGAGACATAATTTCAACTAAACATTTTTGCTGCTGTTTTGTATAATTTGGTGTTGCTTCATTTGTTCCCAACTTTCCTAATAAAAATTGAATTGCTAATATTTTCGATCCTCTGTTGGCTGAGTAGTTTGATTCTTTTCTTGTCCTTTTGATGTGTCTTCCAATGTCTTCAGTAATTGCTTTGTAAATAATAGAGTTACCACCAGTTTCTGCTGGTGGTGTTTTTTGTTAGTTTGGTTTTTTTTAAAGAGAAAGCTTAAAGCTAGTAGTACAACATTTATTGGCCGATCATGCTGGTACCATTGTAATCTCGTTTATCTCTTTCCAGGTTCTGCTTCCATTTTCTTGGAATAAAGACTGTTCTAACCACATTAATAACCTAAAAGGTGTTCTTTTTGTCAGAATTTGATGATGCATAATCTCTACATGTCCATTCACAAGAATGTTAAAACAAAACTAAACAGTAAAGCTGTATATCTTAAGCTAAAAAAAATGGGAATGTGTTTGTTTATCATTTTTGTTATTGTTCCATGAAGATTTCTAACTTCTATTTCCAGGGTTATCTTGAAGAGCTGGTACGCCTTAGAGAAACACAACTGGCTGAATCTGTTTCACAGAATAAACTCGTACTGCAGCGGATTGAAGATATGGATCTAGCCCATAAAATGGAAAAGGAGCAGCTGGAGTATATCATTGTGGAGCTGCAAGACCAGCTGTAAGTTAGACTGGTGGAGAAATATTTTTGTTAAGGAGTGGTAACAAATATCTATCTGGATGCTCTCCTTTTCTGTATGCTTTACAAGAATGCTTTATCTCTTGGAAAAGGACAAATCTTAATCATGACAGTATTGAAGTGGCTGTATTTTCAGTAAATGTGGAATATGTCTTTCTTAGATGAAAGAAATTAGACTGAAAGGGGTGCAGTAATATGAAATGCCAAAACTGTGAGAAATTAAAAATTAAGACAACTTACAATAGTATTCTTTTTTTAATTAACATGCATTTTTGTGATTGATATTGCCATATTGTATTTTACTACTACTAGCTTTAAACAAAACATTTCTTGGGAGGTAAAAAGTAATTGCGAAACTAATAAAATTTTCATTTTTGGGGAGGAAAGTACTTGCTTTTCCATGTATGCAGTTGTAGACACTTTATGCGTTAAATTCTGTGGTGGTAAAGCTGAGGAACATGAGGAGCAGTTCATCTGCTGAAGCTGAGGCCTTTGTTGTTGGACACATTACCTGCTTCTCACTCTTGCCTTTGTGTCAGGTAAAAAGGTTAGAGCAGCACAAAGGGAACTGTTTGGCTCCCAATACTATAGATCTGAGTACTTCACAATGTGTAAGAGGCTGGAACTATTTACCTCCTTTATTGGTGAGCAACTAAAGTACAAAGAGGCTAAGTGGCTTGTCCAAGGTTACATAGGCAGTCTGACCCAGAGAAGGTATTGAACTTTGGGTATCCAAGTCCTTGCCTAATACTTTAGCTGCTTGACTATCCTTCTTCTCTGGGTCTCATAACCCAGAGCTAGTAGAGAACTGCTCAAGTGAAGGAAATAAGGAAGACAGCTGAAGACTCTTCTGAGGATGCTTTGCAAACTAATTTCTTCATTACTATAAAAATTTCTACCTTCATTTTTCTTTTCTTTAGATAAAAACTTAGATTTTAGAATGCAATCATGAGTTAACTCAAAGGAAAAAATCCAACCTAATGTGGACATTTAAGACATACCATAATTGGACTTCTAGGTTAAGGCAGGTATTTGGAGGTCTCTATACAATTTTACACAATAACAATGTTGTCAATGCAGAAAATCTGTGAGAGGTGCTCTTTCAAAATTGACTTGCAGCCTCTCTCTAGTTACTTACCCAAGGAAGTTAGAGGGGTAAAATATGATTTGGATGAGGAACCTGATAATGAAAACTAGCAGCAACTGGTATTTTCTAGAGTCCCTTTGCACTCGCCCTCCCTCTCTTTGCTTCATTCTGGCAAGGCACAGTAATTCCATAGTGATTTCTGGTTTGTTTTATTAAAACATTAATTTGGCCAATTGCATTTAGTGTTCTGTCAGTAATATTAATGGCATCCATTTATCAGCAAATGACAGTGGATATTGCAGCTATTCTACTAACTGGTGGTGCATTTTCTCTTGTGGCTGTAGCGACCAATGTTAGACCTGCCACAGTGGTCACAGGGATAGCATGAGAGGCTATTGTACTGATGAGCTGTTTCCTTTGGTCATATTTCTGTTGTAATTCAAGTAACTGCCGTGTTACATCCATGCAAGTAGCAAAGGTGGAGTATCTGCTCCATTCAATTTTGGCTGCAGTAGCCTAGGCAGTTGATAGATACTTGAGTTGCCCATATATCAATATCCCGCTCTCTGGTTGATTCCAAAGGAAAGGCAGAAGCCAGTACATTTGGAACCAGCTTGGCTGCAGTAGCAGCCAGTATGAAGATCTTTACTGTCTGACTTCTAGACTGGTTGCCAACCAAGGCTGGAGAGCCCAGTCCACCCTGCCATGGCATCTGCCTTTTGGTAGCATTTTCTCCACTAGGGATAAAGACTAGTACCCCCTTTAAGTTGCTCCTCTGCCCAAGGCTATTGGCATCATAGAGGTTGCTAGATTATTTCCTGATGCCCAGATCTCGGAGTTGACATCTGCAGGTGTAGGTACTGTCTACTCTCATAATGGTAGCAGACCTGGCTTTGTATGAATACTAATAATGTATCTGACTTTAAGGTCAGTCAAAACATTTTAAATGTTATAAGTCAAAGCATGTATCATTAATTTACATGAAAAACAAATGTAAGCCTGAATAGTTCTCAAATAATTGATTTAATATGTTCCTATGAAAGGGAGCTAATGAGAATATGTATATGCATGCTGTATTTGCTGATGTTTCTGTGTGGTCACTGACCTCATGACCTCAATATAAGTCACTTTGCAGAAATCCTGTTGGAGATGGTTTGTGGTTAAGGCTTCATCTGAACAAAAAAAACCTATCGGAGCTTTCTTACGTGCACAGATGGCAATTGCTGCTTTCTAAGCATCTGTTAACAGCTGTGGATCCAACAAACTGTTATGTTGATATACTAACTTCTTAGTGTCATGCACTTCTTTACTCTGGGACTTCTCTTGTGGGAGAATGGTATCTTTGAATGTGCAGTCTCTGCTACTTTGAAAGACAGGGTGGTGAAATTGAGTGTAGTAGTGTTTTTATCTAAACTTTTTAATACTAAAAAAGGAAAATAGTCTTCATCAGAATCTTCTTTAGATCCAAGGAGGCTCCTCAGAAATCTTTGATTTCTTTTCTTTCTTGCCTAGATTGGCTCTCTGCTCTCTAGCTCAGACACGTTCATATGCCTATAGCTTTTTAAGACCAAGCCATTGCAAGAATGTAGATTTGGCCAAGGAATCAAGGAATTTCTAAGTTTTAGGCCTCCCAGTTTTCCTTTCTAAGCCCCCGGATTCCATATTATAAAATTCCTTTTAATTGTAATGAAACATCAGACAGGATGGGGGTTAGTTGATGCCATGTCTAAATAATTAGTTTTAAAATCAGCCTTTTGTGAGGGTCCTCTCAGACTTTCAGTATACAACTTTCTCAGACTTTCAGTATACAACTTCTATATTCAAGGAGTTGGGTCTGTTAGTAAATTGTAAAAGTATCAGTTAGATCTTTAACTATGTATATTTATAGGAATAATCCTGGACTCTGGAAGGCAAGACGTTTGTGCTAGAAAATTTGTAGATGTCTGAAATTTCAGTATTCTTCACAAGCAAACTATAGAAAAGGTTCTTGCTCCTATGAGTGTTTGGCTACAGGCATGTTCTAACTAGGACAGTAAATGTGCCATAGATCGCAAGCTTGGAAACTTTTTTGCCTATCAAATCTAATTCTCCCCTTGCTCCCTGCAGAGGGGGTAAAATGTATATATGCTTCCTGATTCTCATTTTCACTCAATGATACTAGCAGAAGACAGAGCACTCTGTAAGCTTATGACTTGAGGCCTACAACTACAGTCAAAACCTTTTTGAGCCTCTGCTGCTTTTTATCTTCATTTTTCCATCATTGTACCTATTTTCTTTTGGTTTTCTCTTTAAAAAAAAAATGTAACTCCGTTCTATTTGCAAAACTTTAGTTGCCTCCCAGCTTAATTTTATCTGAATCATTCAGTACTGCCCTTGTGGAGCATTGTACGCTTTTAGCATTTATTTAGTCCTTTTAATTTTGGTGAAGAGAGAGGAGAAGACCAAGGTTATCATCATCATGGCTTCTGCTCATCTTTGTGCTGTCTCCAAATGCCTGGAAGTCGCATATGCCTGGGAAAAGCACCATATGCATGTCCTTTTCATGTAGAACATGAAACCAAGCTGCTGATCTGGCTTAAGAATTTGAGCATGAGATTTGTGCATCATCCTGGGATGCAAGCTGCACTTGATGCTGTTCACCTCTAGTACTCAGTAGTTAGCAAGACTGTGTATGACCTTGATTCTGATAGAACTTCCTATGTGCTGCTGTACTAAAGTCTGTCCCGGAGAGGGGGTCCCATTTCGAGGCTCCAAGAGAAGACGCTACTTCACCTTAGCCTTGCTCTCTGTATGCTGAAATTTCACAGCCTTGTGAATATATTCTTGACATGCTGAGACATTTGATGGTTCAAAGACTGCTAAAGCTCAAAGACTTGGGCACTTCTGTTCCAGATATGTCATCCAAACCTGACAGTCACCTGTTGGTTCTAAAGAAAATCTAAGAAAAATGCTCCAGGCAGTCCTCAAACTGTCCTCCATAGAGGACTTATTCCAGGGGTTCCCATACTGACTTCCATTCCAGGGCCATGATCCCTGGCCCTAGTTTCCTTCAGTCAAGGCAAGTTAACATTTGTGGTCACTGTCTCTAACCCATGACTCGACACTGAAATCTCTCTGGCAAGCTGCTACGTATACTGCAGCACTGAATGACTTCAGGTTGCCCTCAGAATTAATAGTATCAGTAGTACGGATCTAGTCTGCTCTTATACTGACATCTGTCTATGGTTCTAGTTCTGAAGCTCGGGTTTGGCTCCGGCTCTTATAGTATCACCTGTAAAGCTTACTTTTTCCCAGTTCTGACCCTGTGTCCAGTTCCATTCAGTCTGTGGATCTGCATCAACAGTCCAGAGTTTATAGAAGACAATAGTACAGACTCCTTAGAGTACCCTGATGGACCGTCTTTGTTCCAGCATAGTGACTTCAAGGTTGTACCTGACTTTGGTGGACCTTTTGGCATTAGGATCCTAAGTCTTCCCCTGGGAACAGGTCACGTTTCCCTGTTCTTTCTCCCTGGCTTTAATTTGGGGATTTCTGTGTCAGTTGCTCATACTTTCACCAGATTGAAAAGGATTTCCTTATCTAGGTTCAAGATTAGTGACCCCTAAAGGACTAATCCATTGCCTTTTTCCTTAATACATGAGACTCTCTTGTCTCTGGAATTGGTACTTGAACTCATAACATGTTTCTTGATCCATGTTTCTTTGTAGTTTTTTAACTTTGCAAGAAAACTGGGAGAGATTTAACACCACATGGTAGATCCTCTGTGTATACTGCCTACTATCCA